CACTGTTCTATGGAATTCCTACCTGATATTGTAAGCGTCCTTTCCTACTCTTATCTTTCTGCATTAACTCTGTAGGACTCTTCTCACCAAAAAAAAAAAAAAAAGTTTAAGCAATCCAGTCACCACATACACCTCAACTCAGCTAAATCTGGTTTTCAAATTAGTTTGATTTGGCTATGTAGATCCTTTCTCTTTTCAGAAGCTCTGTTACAGGCTAAATTTTAAGGGAGATTTTGCCGTCTCCGAATCAAATATTCGTGTGACTGCAACATAGATGGTGGGTGGTAGCCTGGTGGATCTATCAATCTTATAGATTTTGTTTCCTGAAAAAGAAAGAATCAATTTGGTATTTAACTACCCTTTTGCTAAAACTTTTTTGCCCGTCTAAATCAAAGGTTTGGCATTAGCATGAATATAAATTCAATACTCAACACCTAACTAAAATAATGTAGCCACATAAATGAATTCTAGCTAACTCATAGTGCAACTGGCATCCAACCAAGTATATATGAAATGAAGAAACAAACCAACCACCTTAAAGGACCCTGTTGAAATTTGGTAAAAGTAGGATTCTTTTCTGACTTAGAAATTTTAGTTTTCAACGATTGATCCCGACATAACTTTTGAGCTGGTGTAAACTTTTTTCTGCTTTGTAATTTGATTATGTGAAATATACAAATAAAATATAGGCATGATCTATCTGGTCCGAATAAAGCAAATCAAGCACATGCCAAGCATAGTATATATAATGAAAAATCCAATCTGATCAATCATAGAATTTAATACTCAATCAATCAATTGGACATGTTCTTCGCAACGTGCATGCATAATCACTTGTCTCAGAGAAATGGGATCTAATTGTATATGTTTGCGTTAATTATAAGAGTGGTGCTTGCCCTTCAGGTTCTTAGTGGATGATGTACCAATCAGAGTGTTCAAGAACTGCAAAGATTTGGGAGTGAAATTTCCATTCAACCAGCCAATGAAGATATACTCAAGTCTATGGAATGCCGATGATTGGGCTACCAGGGGTGGGCTTGAGAAGACAGACTGGTCCAAGGCACCCTTTATAGCCTCTTACAAGAGTTTCCACATAGACGGGTGTGAGGCCTCCGTGGAAGCCAAGTATTGTGCCACCCAGGGTACTAGATGGTGGGACCAGAAGGAGTTCCGAGATCTTGACAGCCTCCAATACAGGAGGCTCAGATGGGTCCGCCAGAAATTTACCATCTACAACTACTGCACTGATAGATCAAGATACCCTTCACTGCCCCCAGAATGCAAGAGAGACAGAGACATATAAAATATAATGTTGGAGAAAATCTTGATTCCGGCCACATTTATATGATTGGATTAATGTTGATTGACGGAGCCCGCTCTTAATTTCCACACAGCTGCTTCCATCCTGTTCTACTCCTATAAGTTGAGAATGCTTTAGGGCGTGATTTATGGCTTCATGTTTGCCACTGTCATTATAAGTCAACATCTGCTGAAGGGTTACTACTGTTGTTGTCATTTTTCAAAACATTATTGTTAGTGTTTGTATTAATTACCCTTCAAAATGTATCCACTAGATACATGTTCGCGTTATTATTTGTGCTTGGTACTTCTTATGATGAAGTTAATCAAAATAATTACTACTATTCTTTATTTGTGCCTGTTTCATTAATTAATTGCGTCCGTGTCTTAATTAATTAAGGATCCATGGTTTGTTACTCAGATTTGAATGCTACTTTCATGTGTTCACCATGCAGGGATTTAATGTTGGTGATCTGCTAAATTAGTGCAGTTATGTCGCGCGTTCACCAGTTGAATGTGTCCTCTCCATCCATTTATCAACAGCATATATTACATATTCATATGCCTCTTGCTCATTTGTCAACGCCAGTATTTGAGAATGGATAACTTAAATCTGGACAGCTTCTCGAACAGATTAAACAAATCATTTTGATTCAAGAAAGTAGGCTTGAGTGAAAGAAGCTATATTTTATGTATGTAAAAAATTTTCTCCGTTGTATACCCGATAGAACAGTAAAAGATTAATCTGGATCTTTAGACCTGCGATATTTTGAAGGATCTGAACAAAAATCATTATGCAATGATTTCTGTATTATTTCTTCTAGGTTATTCTCTCAAATTCAACACAGAAGTTGATGTTCTTATAATTATATTTGAGTTGGTAAAATGATATAATTCATGTTGGTCATTTAAATTCTTCTAATACTCGTTCGTCACTAAAATTAATTATCTTAAAAAATAAAAAAGTTATCTTTCTTTTTTTTAGAGAGATTATCTTGTTTTATATATTTTTTTTATTCTAAAATAATTGTCTGTTGAAAATATTTAAGTCATGTATTTTACTGTAATCCTAATTAAAACTCATTTGTAAGGCACCTACAAGTAAAAAAGACGACGTGTCGTCTGCAATTGCTGATGGCGCATCATCTGTCCCTTTTTCTTCAGCGACTTTCCAGTGATACGAAAGTCCCGATTCCCCGAATTTTCTCCAAAAAAAAAAAAAAAAATTATTTTTAAAACTATTTTTAGATAAAAACACCTTACAGTTCAGGCTAAATAACAAAAAACAAATCATAGATGCCTTTAATCAACTCGGACGGCTTATTCTTTTTATAGATAGAGGTTATAACTGCTTGATTCTCGATAACAAACTAGTGTTCTGGTCACTTTCTCTCTCTTCCACAATTTTTCCAAGCATCATCGCCTTTATCTAGAATAATGGAATTAAGGACTCTTTTGGAAATTGGTTATTTTAATATGAGAAAACAATGAGAGTAAAATAAAAGTTCATTTGAATGACGTCGTTTTGCTTTACTTTATGCGGAAAGGAATTTTTTTTTTTCCATTCATTTTGAATGGTAAAAATATATCCGGTTTTAGTTTTATGCAACTACTATTCAAAGGGGACGAAGATCAATAAATCGAGGAAATCTCAATTCAGCCCCTATTTATGCAATTATCAATTGAGTCTCAAATTATATACTTTTATCAAGTTTTTCCAAACGTAATAAAGTTTAGACAATACCACTTTTTCATCCACCCGTTGTTGCCGGCAGCTAAAAGATTCTCATCTAATTTGCACGTGATTTTTTTAGTGTTTCCCATCCATTGTTCAACACAAAAGTCTCAATCTATCTTAAAGGACAGCTTTTTAACACAAAACTTGGGGTAAAAGTCCCTCCAACATGCCTTTTACACGATTGATGAAGTAAAGCAGAAGTTATCATAATTTACTGCTAAATTTGTACTTTAGCACAAATTAGGACTTATTTAGTAAATTGAATGAAAACACTTAATTAACACGTAGAAATTAGATAAAATCTTTTTAATTATCACTAGAAATGAACAAATAGATGGATGATATTAGCTAATATCGATTATTTTCGAGAAAAAATTGATAAAATAAAGAAGTCAGTGCTCAATTGATAACATATTAATATATTATGACTAATTTAGGTTTTCCCAATATAATTGTATAAGTACAGGTGAAAATATTTGAATAATCATGTTCATGTATTATTTACGAGTAAAATAAATGTGAAATGTTAATTAAAATTTTGAATTATCAAGTTAAATACCGAGCGTGTTTGATAATCATTTATAGTTTTTTTTTTTTTTTTTTTTTCAAAAAGATGCGTCTCATGGTTTTGAGTTTTGATATCTCCATATCAAAAAATGCAAAGCCAACCAAAATTGTATATATATATATCAATTTGATAAATTTTCAATTCAAAAGTAAATTGAAAAATCACTCACAAAAGCGCATTGGAGAATGTGAATTTCTGGAAATATTAGATCCCACGATAATCGATGCACCTGACCCAACAATACACGTGACTTTAAATTCCTGTCTCACAGCTAGCTCCCCGGCGAATTGCCATACTGGATATAAACTGCTTCTTTAGTCCTCTGGGCTCTGCTACGCTCTACTCTTTTTTTCTTTTCTTTTCTTTTTTAAAATCGAATGTTCAGCTTTTTCATTAATTTTGAAACAGTGATTACATCTGTCCTAATTGGATCAGAAATAACAAACGGGAATCTTGATTCCAAATGCTTTCTTTCTTTTTTCTTTTTTGTGGGGGTATTGCATTCATTTTCACCAGTAGAAAGCTAATAATCTAGCTGTCTTGTGAGGAGTTACATTGGGATCTCTACTGATATGGTAGCTTGAAATACCTGCAGTCGGGAAGCAAAAATCAGTCATGGCTTCAATGATCAGGGGAATGCAAGAGAGACTGCCATCGACTCTGTTAGCACTTGTACATGTCTGCCCGACAAGCAGATTTCATTAATTATTAATCAAACTGCCTGTATTTTTGCATGCAAGATGACCATTTCAAGCCAGTTGGAATCGCTGGTAAACAAGATAGCCTGCCTCTTTTTCTACAATTTTAAGCCAGATGGAATTAAATGCTGTTAAACAAGAAGCCCATACTGTCAGAAGTTTAAAGCTTTCTCAGAATTACATGGTTGTTTCTATTATCCAAAAAGCGCAGGCTATCTTCAAGAAGAAACAAGTTGGGGCGTAAATGGTTTTGTTATATGGTGACTGATAAAAGAAAAAACAGCTGCTGCCATCAGCAAACACTGCTCAGGAAAATCGACATCATTTTCTCTTCTCTTCTTTTCTTTTTCCCAAAAAAAGGCTTCAGTTTCATCATTGCAAAAAGGAAACGAGAGGAGTGAGACGGTCGTAATCGAAGACGATGATACTGCTTTTCTTTTCTTCTTCCCATGAATCATATATCCATTCATGTTAATGCTTGCAATGATGCTAATCAAACAACTGCAGCAACAAGGGTTCTCGATTTCTGCAAGATGTTGCAGATGTAATTCGGAGCTAAACCAGAAGGACGTAACACCATAACTTCATATTTGTAGAGCTAATCTACATAACCAACTGTAAACATATATTGAACTTTAGTGCAAATACAACCACCATAATTGATGTTTCCTTGACACTCCATTTTGTACCTAGTAGTCTACAAAATCAGCAGGTTCATGGGAAATCTTTCTTTCCTTATATCAGGCAAAACCAAGTGTTTACAAAACCTGGCAACAAATTTAGCTGAAATGACATTGTCACACCTCGCATAGTACAATGTGAGTAGAAGTTCGGCTTGGCAAACTGGGATGATCCACGCGCCAAATGTACTCCATTTATTTTTATCTGCTACCGCAATGATTAATAACAAACAGAATCTATGGTAGCTACATGCTTGCAGCTCACTTATAGAGATGTAGAAGCAGCAGTGGTCCGTTGTTTATTACCGAGGATAACTACAATGACAGTGACATCGTCATGATACTTCCTTCTTCTCCCAGCTGGAATCCTCATCAGATCTTCAGCACTAAAACCTTTACAATAACAACTTTTATTCAGATATCAAATTGAATTTCAATAGACTGAAAAGCCTAACATCATCAGATGATACATTTCAATAAAGATAATCGTGTAAAAGACATCAAATGCAAGCATGTTTTGCTCATTAGCAAGTCCTATCTCTTCCCCTAATTCTTAAAATGGTCCAAATTCTGCAATATCGATGTTTCTGCATTTTTACACAAACGATGCAGCAAGTGTATATTTCTTATCCACCAGAGGGATCAATACATGCATTAATATGACAGAAAAATTAAGACTAAAGAAAGCATCTGTTCAGAAATTTCCAAGATTTAGTAATTGAAAGGAAACAGAAATTACCAGCATTATCAGCTGCTCTCTGAACAAGCTGTTCAACCAGGTGCTTTGCAGGATCACCAGAAGGATTGTTCTGGATAAACAGATGCACAAGCTGCACAACTTTGTCAATACTAAAGAAATCAAACAATCCATCGCTTCCCAAAATGACAAATTGATCCATATCTGAAACTCTATGACTCATAGTGAAGGGATGATTATAAACATAGGGAGGACTGCATAAATTTCGCACTCGTAGAATGCCCATCAACACATCATTCATCTTACTCTGTGGAGTTGCAAGGAATAATTTATGTCAAGTAATATAAGCACAGTAAAAAAAGTAGAAAATAAACAAAAAGGGAAAAAGAATCTTGTGTTGACCTTTTTGAGATAGCCAACTCCAAATGCTCGAGTTAACTTCAGTTTCCCTTTTAGTCTCCCATGAATGATAGGAGAAGGATCGTCAGGGTGATCAACCAAAACTTTATTGCACTCCGACTCATTATCAACATTATGAATTTCTGTTAACTGTATGGCTTTCAACACACCTCCCTCTCGAATGGTTTTTGTTGCTAATATTGCCCTACTGTCCCCTAAATTTAGAACATAGATATGATCTCCATAAAGAAGAACTGCTAAGACACAAGATCCAACAGACACCAAATCAGGGCGATCTTCCATTTCCTGTTCAACCATGTACATAAAATCGCCTTCTGCTTGGGCTAGCGCACGATTAAGGCAGCCTATTATGTCAGAACTGTAATTCTCGTGTGTGCATTCTTCAGAAATGGACAGTTTTGTTTGTTCCATTTCAGAATTTGAATGGCCAGGATCACTGGGGCGGGCAGTATTACTGGTGACATTTTCTCCTTCTAAGGTACTTTTAAATGAACCATGCTGCTTCTTTGTCCGCCACTCCAGCATATGAAGGTAAAAACAAATGTTTTCATAGAGAGTACCAGCTAAAAAATCAGCAGCATCACGCCCGTTGAACCCGTCATAGATTCCACAGAAGAGCCATCCATTTTCTTCAGAACACACAGCTTGGACTCTATCCTCGCCTGCTGCCCCTCCAGCCATTTGCACATCCATTGTATTAAGAAAGCTTGACGATTCTATTCTGGTAGGAGCACTTGTAGATTTCCACAAGTTCCTTTCGCTCTCAGCAGTTTCACTATCCTTTGGTGTACAGCCACCCAAGGTAGTCAAACTGCTATTTGAGGACGATGAGGTGAGATCTAAGCGTGATAGAGAAGAAGAAGATGCCATTCTTCTAAATGATTTTGGAGAATCAAGGTAAGGCAAGATCTCCTCTCCAATGAGACCATTACACATATTTGTGTTTGCCAATGTAGCGTTGGCACTAAGAGCGGCACCAGACAAACAAGAAAAGGAGCTACTCATCTTCATACAAGAATCTTGGATCGTGTAGCTGTTCAAAAAGTTGAATCCTTCTGGCACAATAGTAGGACTACCAGGGCCAGTGACGTTGCACTGATAACCAAAACTAACACTTAGTTCCCCTGGATAAACTGGTGTATCATCCGATCCTTCCATTATTACTAAATTTGATCTTGGAAAACTGTTCAGTTTCCTTGTAAATACATGTTCTCTTTAAGATTATGGGTAATGCACGGCATGCTAGAGACAGAGTTTCAAGCACTTAGATACTGACAGAAACTGAGCCCACTGAAGATAAGAAAATAAAGTGGTTAAACTCCAATATTTATGAAATGTTTACAGGAATTGACAAATCAGAGCAAAGCTTCACAGCTAATATTCACAGAAATAAAAGAATTATAATGGATTCCATTGACGAGCGATAACAACGAAAGGGGATTATGCATCATACACTTATTAGCAATTTTTTCTGTTTTTCTTTCTGAATTTTTTTCTGGGTACTACAAATTGAATTTACGTAAATCCAGGATTCTTTATTAATAAGAAAAAGCCTTCAAAGATAAATACAAAACTGACAGTCTAAAAATCAATAATTTTCACTATAAAAATCACAATAGACAAAAAGAAAGAAAACCGTAATTGACTATGTTCATTTTCTAACTTCAGAGGAAAAGGGGCGAAAATTAACAAACTAACAAACAAAAAAAAGAAAACAAAATAGGAGGTCGAAGAATGTTAAAGGGAGCATACCTTGAGTAAAAATGGTTGTGCTTTCAAGAAATGAGACCATGGGTAGCGTTTATATGGAGTGATTTGAATATCCTGCAAATGAAAAAAAAAAAAAGGAAAAAACTAAATTATATTGGGAAATGAGAATTTGGAAGAAACATATAACCAGCTAATTAATCACCACTTGTTCCATTTAATTGTATAACTGCTTTGTTTTCTCCATTTGGGATTTATTTCTGAAAAAAAGAAAAACAGAGAAAGCAGAGAATCGTGCATGAGAACTGATAACTAAACAGATGAAAACAAATAAGAAGCACTATACAACGTTAGAAAGCAAAAGATGAGAAAATAAAACAAGAAAAAGAACAAATGGAACTTACAAGAAAACCTGGTAGAGAATCAAAGAGAGACAAAGAAAGTAGGATGTGAATTGAGGAGGAGTAGAAGCGCAAAGAGAGTTGTCCACTTGATAGAAATCTACTGCTACAACAAGTTGACGTCTTAGGAGGAAACGACAACACTCTATGGAAAAAGGCCAAAAAAAAAAAAAGGACCAATAGTGAGAACGAGAGATAGATTTTATGAGGCGACTCGACTCTACATGGGCTCAAAAGCTCCTGTGACCTGTGGCGGGTTGTTGAGATTGAGAAATTTTATATTATAAACTATTAATATTTAAACAATAAAAGTGATAGATATTAAAAAAACAGAAGAATGGAAGTAGAAATTTTTTATATAATGTCGGGTGTAATTATTATTTTTTAAAAAAAAACAAACAAGCCCGTAAAGTAATTATTAAAAATATATAACATATGAGAGGTCTCCTCCCTACCCCACCGTCGCAAAACCCTCCCGTCCTTTTCACCACTGAATCACTTCCACCCCACCATCAGACAACTTGCTTGGATCAATAACTCAGCATTTTGTCATTCTCGTGAGAATTCTTCTGAATATACTAAATCTATGCTGAATGATGTGTGGTCCGTTTTTTAAATCCATCGAAATAAAAATTTAATTTTAATTGATAGAGAAACTGTTTTAAAATGACATTAGAAATATATTCATTATATTTTGTTAATATTGCGACTTCGTGTTATTTTGAAATCAGACATTAGACAACTAAACACATTTTTTAACTTCAATTTCAATAATTAGATTGCTATCCATAGTTTAATGGGTTAGGTGTTATTGACAATTCTCTTTCTTCGTAATTATTACTTTACTACTGTCTTCACCACTTGCTTGATTAATCTAACCTTTATTTTTATCTTTTAGTACAACTAACCTTAGCATTGTTTTAAGGATTTTATTTGAGGCTAAGGTTTAGACCATTGAACTATTGGGAATAGAAAGAGGGATATAAATTCATATGATATGAAAGCTCACATACCTATTCATCATCATCATCATTATTGTTTTCATATTGCACTTGATAGAAATGACATTAGACTAAGGTGGTGTTTGATAAAACTGAAAATTAAGTGCTAAATCTATTAAGTATTAAATTTTAAGTGTTGAATCGTTAAATACCGAATATGTTCCCGACAAGTCTGTTTGGTATTTACCGAAAATTAAATACGTAATATAATAAGCTCGTTTGAAGATGATAGAATATATATGATATTTTTTAAGATTTTAGTTTGAACATATGTATCCGATTATATTACTCTTATTGTTTCAAATTGATATAATTTTATTTGTTAATAAATTTGATTTTTTAATATATGAATTTTGGAATAAAATTTTATAACGTCGATGTTTTATTTTTTAAAAATATATTATTATAATTTATTTTGATATATATATATATATATATATATATATATATATATATATATATATATATATATATATATATATAGAGAGAGAGAGAGAGAGAGAGAGAGAGAGAGAGAGAGAGAGAGAGAGTATGTTTTAGATAGTTTGACTTAATCGGATAAGTTAAAAATTTTAACTTATCCGATTAAGTAAATTTTAACTCGAATTTAAAGTTTTAACATAAGATCATTTAAGTTATCAAACAAGATTTTTATATCAAGTAGTACAACTTAATTTTTTAAGCTACTTAATTAGGTTATCAAACACCCCTAAGTATAAAACGAATAAAGATAATATATATATATATATATTCGTTAATATAATTTTAAGATATAACGATCTACTATATATCTTATTAATACTCACTAATTTATTTTGATTTTTTTAAAATTATTTAAAAATCTAATTGCTCAAATTTAAAAAATTAGGAACCAAAAAACTTTTTTATGGAATTTTGAGGACCAAAAGGTGAAAAAATAATTTTAAGAGTCAAAATATTTTTTTTCAAAAATTATAAAAATTAAAATGAAATATTTTGAAAAATTATTTTTAATGAAATTAAATGAATATTAAATAGATGAATAAATCAGATTTGAGCCGAATATAAGTAAGGTAAAAATTTATAATATGATTTTTTAATGAGCACGGATAAAATATTTTTGTAAATGTATAGGATGAAAAGATGAATTAATGTGCTTGGTATCTTGCCATTGTCATTATTTAGCTCTAGATAGTTGTTGTAGCGCTCCGTCAATTGAGACACCTTGCCCGAAAGGTTACGACCGAACGGATCGATACTAAAACTTATATCCTTTTTATTTTCTTAAAATTAAGTTCCTAATTTACTCTTATTTATCTTTAATATGTTAATTTTAAAATATATCATTAATAATAAATAACCATAATATTTTTCTTATTAACATAATGAAAGCTTTATTCTAATATTCATATTCAAATTCTAAGTAAAAATTTTCAACATTCATAAGTTTAACATCATTATACTTATTATTTTAAAAATAAATATTCATTTAAAGTATAACTTAATCGTTAAGAACACATAAAAATAGGCACATGGGTCACTTGGTCATCGGATGCAACATCAACATCCTCAACATTTACATCATTACCTACATCATAGAACGGACGTGAGATACAAATATTCCAATAAGTGTAACATGCATGATTTCACATTAAAACTTTTTATACATGAATATCTTTAAAATTCTTTTCTTCATTTGAGCCTCGCTAGAAGATACTAATATCGGTTAGCAAGGCCTAGCCTCAATAAAAACATGTATAAAAACATTAACTCGTTATTTAAAAGTCAAACCTCAACATTTATGCCTCGATAGACAACCTCAACCTTTAAATTTCAATATACATTAAAAAAATAACCTCATTCGTTTACTTAAAACATTTTTTTTTCAATTAACATGTAAAACATATGCATGCGTATGAATGCACCTCAATATTATCATATCACATCAATCACATAAAAACACATATCATTTACGTCCATGGTGTAGGTGAGTTACACTTAGTTGATTCGCCTAAGACCATTGTTTATCGTAACTATACCTTGACTTGATTCAAACCTTGAACATACACACCATACAACATAAGAAATTAAATATTATTATTTTATCTCTAATAATTTAATTTTTATTAATTCTTATTCTTTTCTTGTAATTTCTTTTAAATTAAAAATCCTAATTAAATCATCAACTCTACTATAATTTATTCAATTATCTTCTAATTATATTCATATAATCTAATGTTGTTAAATTTTAACTTAACCTTTTCAATTCTTATGTAAATACAATTAATCGGTAATATTCTAATAGAAATTTAAGATTTTAATACTAAATTATAATTTTTACATAATCAATCCTAAATCATGAAATTTCAAACTCAATTCTACCTAAAATCAAATAGAAACAAATAATTAAATTAAATATTTTTATTACCTTAAATATTGAATCACCAAAACTTGAATATTCTTCCAAATACCTTTGACTTCACTTCTTACTCAATTATATTCTTTGTCTCTTTCTGAAATATAAGCTTATGAAATGACTTTCCTAAACGAGGAGAATGACACCCTATATATAGGCATGGGAAGTTGAAACATTTGAGAATTTTAAATGCATGAATTAAAAATAATAAAAGACCACCAATTTTTTTTTCTTTTATGACCACTAAGTGGCTTTCTTTCTTGACCATTCATGTTTTCTTTTTAATTTTAATATATGTTTCAAAACTTTTTCTCTTCTTTCATAGCCACTAACATTCCCTTTAAAAGCTAGTAAAACTTATTATTATTTTATTAATTATTATTACTATTTTAATCCTTTAATTCCTAATAGCTTAGGCTAAGATTATAGGATTAATTCCTATCTCTAAAAATACTATCTACAATACCCAAAAATATAAATTATATCTTAAAACTCTATACCTAATCATCACATCATCTAAACACATAAAAAATATTAAATTACATATACAAATAAAGGACATTTGTATACATATACATATAATATATTATCATGTAAAATTTGTAGGTATTACAGTTGTGTTCTTCTTTTGTTTGGTTATTTTATAGTCTAAAAGATATATTACATCAGTTTGTTGGATAGAATTCAGAGGACTATGAACACACAAATTTATCTAAAACAAATTCTTTGCCACTTGCTAGAAAAAGATATTTAGTATTGTAAACTAACCGATCATTTAGGCTTGCAAAGTGGCTTTCGTAGAGATCTTGATAGATCTAGCCCAATTTACATCAAATTGTTTGTTTGAGGTAGCTTCCCAATCTCAAGTGAAACTTTTGCTCTTCTCCAGATTGAATTCCTTCGGAATCAAGCACGAAATTATTTCCATCAATTCTATAATTTTCGAACTTAAAAACCACGATTTTCCTTTTTTATTGGATTTTAAGAAGAGGGTTCTGATAGGATCCCTCTTGTATTTAGAAAACTAATAATTTTCACATCTAACAAATCTTTGTGATTAACCTTCACTTTGTATCGATCATTTTTCGATATCTCAATGTCAGCCTTACATAATATTCATGGATAGATACATCATAACTATTCATATTTACTAAACTTAAATTCTAAAACAATGGACCACGAATCAGTTCTTAATTACTTTGTTATTAGCGCCTACTGAACAAAATTACAAATAACAAAGAATTTAAATTCTAAACCAATGGACCATGAATCAGTTCTTAATTATTATTTCGATTTACAGTCTCGTTTGCGCCTCAGGCATGAAAGATAACAGAATAAGAAGATTAAGCCAGTTAGGACACCGGTGAGAGTTGTAATGTTGGATATTTCAAGTGTCCTTAGCCGATCTCCAAGCGACAAATGCCCTGTGCAGTGATGAAGAGAGAAGTAACGATTTGGTGCGAGGTGGCGACACCTACCTGGCAGAAGATTCGAGTGACGCCAAATGACTGTAATGGAATGATTTATAAAGGAAGGGATATGGCTATTGAAGCAACCAGGTTCCACATAAAATTTCTTGAGTAAATCATAATTTAGTCTCTATGATTTTAGCGATATAATAAGTTAGTCTCATCAGTTTCAAAAATCATAATTTAATCCTTTTGGTGTTGTTGACTGTTCACATTCGCTAAAAGCTGCTCTGGTTTTGTAGAAAATGTCCAAACTATCCTTATGATTTGAGAATAGATCCTCCCTCTTTCTTTCAAACCACACTCGCTCTCTTTCGTTCTTTCAAATAAAAGTTGTTTAAAGAACAAATGTTTAATAAATTGATGCCAAAAGAGATGCTATTTGAATTTGAATTTTTTGGATTGGAATTGTTTGGTCAGAATTATGATTTTGTGAAATTAGGAATCTTTCGAAATAGGTTAATCCTTTGTCTCTTGCTTGCTCGTACTTTTCGTTTCCAGTAAAAGTCATGCTTTCTTACCTTATGTTTTTCGACGTCTCTCTTCATTCTGTATCTTCTTCAAACTTTCATTTAACTCTTCAAAATCATTCTCTCTTTCGAAAAAATCCCAACCACTTTCATTTGTAATAGTTATTCATCTTGACATTGCTACTAGCTATATCAATCCGTATGAAAGTACTGGAAATAGAGGGAGACGTGGGAGAAGGGAAGAATGGCAACAAAGCATATGGATATCTAATTCATCTAGAATTTCCTTCCCTTAAATACTTGGCCACAAGGTTATTAAAATCAAGATTTTAAATCGAATATTTGGAGGAATAAAAAAATTAAATTATAAAATCGGATCATAAAATCGTAAAATTTTATAAACTGTTAAAAAATATATAATACAGAACATAAATACAGATATAAAGGGTGTTAAAAATCTTGTTTTCAAACAGCAATGATCTCTATCGCAAATTCTAAGTCATTCATTTTCCTTTTCCTTCTTTTCGTGTAAATCGAAGCAAATTTTATGTACATTAATTAGATTTCCAATTATAACAAAAAAGAATTTTAAAATGATGAACTATGTAAAATGCATTCTAATTGTGTTCACAACCATGAAAAAAAATTTTGGTATCTGAATGATTTTTTTTTAAATAAAAAATCAAATAAAAAGAATATAAGTTATTTAAAAAATAAAAATTATAAGACTCCTACATAAGTACAACCATATAAATTCACACTCAACAACAGTAAAGGGAGCAATAGTTCCAGGCCGTTACATTCTCTTTTTCCTTTGGTTAAATCAGAGCTTCAAGGCCCAAACCTCAAAACCTGGGGATGGCCACAAGGCCCATTCAATGAGGTGTTAGGCTAGCAAGAACAAAATCTGAAGGTGCTAGCTGTTACAAGAAGGGCATAGAAAGCAGAAGGTGGCAGCATACCCAGCCCACGAGATGTTTTATGATCACGGTCCAGAAGCCTGGAGCTAACTTACCTCTACCAACAACTTCGATAATGAACACGAAATGAAAGTAGGTTTTTTTTTTCCTTGAAGGATAGAAGATTCCTTGAAGGATAAAATTGATGTCATGACAATACTGGTAATTTTTTAATCAACATGTGTGTTGATCTTAGAGTAGAAACATCAAGTTAAAGCCATTTCTCAATGTTCTTCATTTTGTCTATGGGCCATTACAGCCCACATTTACAATTACTTCGAAACTGGGATTAATAAATAATGATCTGGGCCAACAGAAAAATCCATCATAATTCAGATTAAAAACAAAAAAGGCCTCAATAACCACAAAAACACACACACACACACACACACACACACACACACACACACACACACACACACACACACACACACACACGCTCGCATGCCACCAAAAAAAAAAAAAAAAAAACCCTAAATTCCAATTAGGGTATGCAAAAAATGAGACGACCATATAAAACCCAGAAATATATAAGAAGCCATCTCTCTTCTTTGCAGTGACTTTGGCGGCAGCAGCAGAAGGAAGAGTGAGCAACTATGCCGGCTGGACACGGTTTGCGATCTAGGACCAGAGATCTCTTCGCTCGTCCCTTCAGGAAGAAGGGTTACATCCCTCTCTCTACTTACCTCCAAACCTACAAGGTAGGCGACTATGTCGACGTCAAGGTAAACGGTGCCGTTCACAAAGGCATGCCCCACAAATTCTACCATGGCCGCACCGGGCGTGTCTGGAATGTCACCAAGCGCGCTATTGGTGTCGTCATAAACAAACAGGCACGAGATCTATCATACTTATCTGCCTAATTAACTTTTCATATATCGTTTCATTTTAGTATTTAACCGATTATTTTATTTATGATTTTGGAAAATTATGTGATAATTTTTTACCAATTGTTATAGGTTGGGAATAGGATTATTGGGAAGAGAATTCATGTTAGGGTGGAGCATGTGCAGCAGTCGAGGTGCAGAGAGGAGTTTCAGTTGAGGAAGAAGAAGAATGATGAGTTGAAGGCGGAGGCGAAAGCTCGTGGTGAAAAGATTAGTACTAAGAGACAGCCTGAAGGACCAAAGCCTGGGTTTATGTTGGAGGGTGCTACTCTTGAAACTGTCACTCCTATTCCTTATGATGTGGTCAATGATCTTAAGGGTGGTTATTGATTTCTTATTTACGATTTCCTGTGGTTTTATTTCTGTCAAGAAGTTTGTTTCGTGCTTTGCTTATTTTGTGAGACGTGAATGAATGTGGAGTTTTATTATGACAATGAATTTGACTTGTAATTTAGTTTCATACAAAGCAGACTGCTATTACTATTAATTTTGTGACTAAGCTTTATTATTTGGTGTGAGATATGTTGAATCATTCTGGTTCTTAGGTTCTGACTATATTGATCTGAATCGATTGATGTGGGGTTTTGGGGCAGATTTTCTTTTAAATAGTTTTCATTTTCTGTGCTGTTGTTATATCTGAGTTGTTGCTATTTCTGCTGCCAGATGATGCATTAGTATGTAGCAATTGGTTTGACATGCTTATTGGTTGGTTGAGGAATTTGTGTTGACATGTAGTTGAATGGGTCATGTGCTTCATCGTGCTTGTTATTGCTCCTGATAGATTTGAAATATTGTACGCTTATTTGCTCTGACATTGTCTGTGGATGGAGGGTTGGGAGCTTGATTGTAGTTCATAGCTTTGAGGTTTTTTATAACGCTGTTTTGGACTACAGTTACCATCATATTTCTGTCTCTACTTTCGTGTATATTTCTGTCACTGCCCATCAGGATGACTGGAAATGTAATTGCTCAACACTTAGAAGTTCTTTCCGGAGGTGTTCATTTCAGAATTAGCTGATGATTTGCATTTTTTTTTCGGTCTGATTTTGTGTACTATGATTGAACGAAAAAGGGGAGTTGAAATGATTGCTAAAGAAACATATTGTGAATGGTCTAACTACCGAATGGAACTTGTTGGAGCTTAGGCTCAGAAATTAATTGGCCATTATGTTTCTCAATTCCTCTCAAATTTTCAACCATGATGCAATGGCATTGGTGACTTTGGTTGATCTCCACAGTTGCTTGATAAGATGTTGAAACTTTGATTGGGAAAAGGTTTTGGCATATGAGAGATATGGCTCATAAGCCTTGGATGCATGAAGTCATACGTATGCAGCTAAAAGCATTTGATGTGATTTTATTTATGAGACTAGAATAAGGTGGATGAGGGTAGAGAATGAATGTCATTTTTTGACAGGACTTTGTTCTTTTATTTGATAGCCTTTCTGTCTTGATCCTGCTTGTATTTTGGCCCTCACCTGGAACGCCATTAGTTAGTTGGCCATTTTTGCTCCATTTGGAGAACAAATTTTCTCCTAAACCATCCTATCGGAGGTGGAATTTTTCCAAAACATTGATGTATTGATGTAGCAATTTATATCTATATAATAAATGTTTTAGATGGAGTTAGTTACCCACTTTTGCTCCATTTGGAGAACAAACTTTCTCCAAAGCCATCGTAGAGGTTGAATTTTTCCAAAACCATGATGCAGTAGTTTATCGCCACATACTAAACGTTTTACGCATTGTTTCTCGGCTCGACTTCAAAATTTTCTGGTGTCATGAGGGCGACGCGAGGTGGAAAGGAATTCTGCCCACTAGACCCTCTTTGCTCCTTCTCTCCAAGTATTCCTGTTTCCCAGAGCTTCCTGGATCTTGATGGGTGGGCAGTATTGGTGACCGCAGGAATATGCTGGGCCCTGGGAGTTATTCTGTGCTGCCATTTTAAAGACAGGAATTGACTATGCCTCTGTTAGTTAAGTTACTGTTATGCAAGAAAAAATAGGAGCAGCACTTCTGCAGTTTCACATGGGAATCCTGTTCTTATGCTTGAAGAACGCCAATAGCTAGCTAAAGAACAAATTTGTGATGGCATATGCAGGAAGATCAATATCTTGTCGCTGAAGCATTGGGGAAAAAAATCGCTTACTCGGATGCTTAATTGAGATACTGTTCTCACCTTTCAGAAATTCATAGATAGAAATATAAATATAAGGAGGAAATCAGAACATTTTTGGTGTCTTTTAAATTATAAGTTACACAGTAGAACAATTTTGAGCGATGGCCAAGATGGACTGCGTTGTTGAGGTTAATAAAAAACTGGAGAGCCGTCGGATTATTGGGAGAAACGTTCAATCTACAGATTACCTGAGTCCATGACAGACCTGAACAAGAAAGCTTTTGGGCCTCAAACAGTCTCCTTCGGCCCTTATCATCATGAGGAAGAACCTCTAAAGCCAATGGAAGAGCACAGGGAACGAGCCCTCCTTCAATATCTAAAGAGATTCGGGAAATCTTTAAATCCTTTCGTAGAATCTTTAGAGAAAGAAGTGGAGGTTCTGAAAGGTTCGTATGATCGACTAGATGCATCATTGGAATACGATACAAGCCGGTTTCTGCAACTGATGATTCTTCATGGCTGTTTCTTGCTGCAAATCTTAAGCACTAAGGCTGATGATCATAAAACGGCTGAATATGCTTCTACTGATCCAATTTTTAGCAGACATGGAAAGCTTTATATCATGCCATACGTCGAGCGTGACATGTTGATGCTTGAAAATCAACTGCCCATGCTGGTTCTTTACAAGTTTGCCGCTGTTGAAAGCGATAGAGCTAAGGTATACTACTGAATTGCAAAATTTTATTGTTGTTCTCTTGTTCGATTCTTCACTGGTACAAACTTTTACTTTTATACAGAATGAAGAATTTGTCAACGAGCTCATACTACATAATTTCGGATACGAGAAACCAGCTTCAAGCCTGGGTAAATGCTTGCATATAGTAGATTTGTATCGGAAGAACCTGCTTGGGGAAGTGCCCCACAAAAAAAGCACTTGACAGAGGACCACGAGGTGCAAAATATAGAGATGCCAGTGACATAATCCGGTCTCCAACAGAGCTCAACGAAGCTGGAATATAGTTCAGGAAAAGTAAAACTAAAAGCTTTAAAGACATTTCATTCTATGGAGGCGTCCTTGAGCTTCCTGTCATCATGGTGGATGATGCCACTGAGACAATGTTTCTGAATCTGATGGCATTTGAACGCTTCCATGTTAATGCAGGCAACGTGGCAACATCTTATGTCTTCTTCATGGATAATATGATTGATGATGAGAGGGATGTCGCCCTCCTTTAATCTAGAGGGATCATCATGAATGCCATGGGAAGTGACAAAGCTGTTCCCAAACTGTTCAACTCTCTCCAAGGTCATTGCGTTGGACCCAGACAGCAGGCTCGGAGCGGTGCACAAGAAGGTCAATGCCTACTGCCTGAAGCTTTGGAAAGAGTGGCGGGCCAATCTGATTCACACCTATTTCAGAAATTCATGGGCAATTCTGTCTCTCATGGCTGCGCTCTTCCTTTTTGTCCTCACCATTGCTCAGACTGTATATACTATAGTACCTTACTACGATGATAAAAATCAATCTCCACCTCTCTCTTCTTCTCCTTTTCCAGGTCCTCCTCCCACTTCTCCTATGCGTCATCCAAAACTAACACACTATCGTTGACTCTCAATATTCCACTGCTGTCTCTTAAATCATGAATAAAATGATGAATACCATCATTTGCGTGGCTAACCCTAAACTTTCTGTTCCTTGATCAGTGGCTCATCGACTGCACTTCTGCTTGATTTGTTAATTGTCTACACAATTTCCTTTGGGACATCTGCATTATTTGTTCAGTTACATCATGAGATGTGGATATTAATGGTGATGCTTTTTCATAATTCAATCTCCCCCTTTTGTTTTTTGATTTGATTCGTTTCTCGTATACAAAAATTAGCGTCTGGCTGGGATTTTTCTGAATTGTAAGCGCATGAAAAGTCTATGCCTAACCATAATGTGTTTTCTCAGTATAGAACAAGAGCAACATCTGAGAATAACATTTCATCTTCATTACAAGGAGTTGTTTCTTTACATATGACATGTTGTGACAGAGTTTGAACGCATACCGTGATAGTGATCAGCGAGGAGAGAAACGACATAGTAATTCTCAAGATCAAGGGTTTCAAGTACATGGATCTAGGCTAGGATCTGAGTGGATCAGTATAATGTGGCTTTCAAAAAGTTTATGCATGTACTCATGAATTTGCTTTTACACGTCATACTTGATATTTTATCTTATTAATTAGCTTCATTTTAAGAAAACTCTGTCAATTTTTCTGTGTCTGCCCTATTTCTTTAGGACTGAGGCGCTTGGAGATGGACATACGGTGGCTTATAGACACAGATAACCTTTTCTGGTTCATTCTGTTATTTCACTTGAGAAAGTTCTTGCTTGCTAGCGTGTGCCAGTAAGGAAATTTTGTAATTTTTTTGTAGGCCATCAGAATAATTATCTGTTCGACTTTGTAAGAATGTCTTTTATGGACAACATAGTTGTCTCCTCTCCTTCTATAAACAGACTCCTATAAAAAAGACAATGTTGAATGGATCTACTTTAATGAGTTGTTGAAATCTTCGGGAAACACCAGCAAAAAGTGGCCAAATAATTCCAGCATGTGTATGACATCATCCTGGAAGTAAGAGTGCGGCTGGAAGCTCAAAACTTTCCATTCAGATTCATTAAATTGTACAGAAGTTGAATAAACAAACTCAAAGAAAATGGACTTAACTATTTCACAATAATCAACAACAATAACCAAGCCTAATCCAAAATTATCGGACATAAGCTGTATGGATCCTTTTGGGTCCCTAAGTGGTGGTTTCTTTCAACTATTGAGGTTGTAGTACAGTCGGACCAATATTATTATTAATTTGATCAATTTTTTTATTCAAATTATAATGTTTCCAATACATATTGTCATTTTTTTTTATTTCACTAATCAATCAACCAGTCAAATTTTGACTTAAAAAATTCATTTTTTTCAACTGATTTTTTTCATAGATGCTAGTTGAAATTAAATTTATTTTAAAAAATAGTTTCAATTTTTTTTAGGTGGAAGATTAATTTTTTTTATTATCCAAATATAGAAATATATGCACTTCAATATCAAGAGAATTTAAATCCTTTTCCATCGGACAGGAACCATTTACTTTGGTATAGGTATATTCCTAGGTTCGTGAAGACTTAAGCATTCAGATCCCTTTCAACCGATAATTAATGCCGTATGCTAACAACTCCTCACGAGATGGAAAATGGTTGAAAGTTAAAAAAAAAAAAAAAAAAAAAGCACAGAAATAAAGCCGAGAAAGAAGATGGGGTCGTAGGTTCGAAGTTCCTAGCCTTTTCAGGCCGGTTGAAGCCCATGTAAGCTAGATTTCTCAGCAGTGGGTAGGCGAGAGAGACCCTGGCCGAAGGAAGAGGGTGAGGAGCAGTACAGGTAATAATTAAAGACGATATAGAGCATTATTCTCTTTGGCCTTTTCATTTCACACATTAATATTGTTTCTTGACTTGACTACCAAATCTTTTATTGCCGAGCGCCCTCATTGTGGGATGACGGGCTACTATACCCTCTGATTTTTGCTCTCGATCTCTGTTCCTTTATTGATAAAATTTCTGGTATTTGTAAAAAAAGTTGGTCTATATGTCCTCAGTATAGTATTGGTAACAGGCCAACAGCTTATCAAATGAGTTGTTTATATTAGTGCTCCAGCTTTCGAAACGATAGTCGTGGTATCTATTTTCAAGTTGAGTTACTTTAGCAGCTGTCACCAATCGCCTTAGTTCTTTAGCTTTAAAAGCATAAACAAATTTATGCTACCTTCTTTCTTGTGCAAAGCCATCCGATCGAAGCAACATACTCAGAATCAATTTCCGTGAAGCAATGAACAGAATAAACTAAACTTGGATAATTCAGAAATGAGCTAAATGACAGCCAGAATGCCAGATAAGTGAAACGGGCTGCTAGGCCCTCTGTGTTTTTCTCTCTCCGTTGCTTTCTTGATTAAGTTTCTCGTACGGCTTAAAAAATCCTATATATTCTGTCTTGGAGGAGGGACAGTATTGAGAACATCTTGTTTAGTGATTTAGCTTTCACGATTTACAAGAAAGAATGGTCATGGCATCTCTTTTCAAGGTAAGGGAGAAGAGGTGGAACTTTAGTAGCCTTCACAAATAACCATTAATGCGTCATCTGCAGGGATCCTAGCTCATTAGATTTGAAGAATGCCATTAACTAATGAAAAGCAAATTTATGCCTTCTTTTTGGGGTACAAAGCCATTCTAAGCAATTCATTGCAACTTTGCTACTTAGTAGACACTAAGAATCAATTTTCTTGTCTGGGAAGCAATGAAGACAAATAAACTAATTAAACTTGGATGCTTGAAAGAATAGTTCTGTATTCCTTCTTTTAATAGATACAAGGCAAGAGAAATCAAGCACGTCTTGCCTTCCTTCTTTCAATCACTGTGAAAAAAAACTATCGAGCAACTTTGAAAAAATGGAGGAAATGCAATGGCTGATTAATGTTACAAAGGAACTTCAGAATAAGGTGGAAACTTCGATGCAGAACATCCTATGGAACAAACGATCAATCTACAAAGTACCTGCTTCGGTCACAGCCCTGAAAAGAGCAGCCTACAGGCCGCAGACAGTATCCATTGGGCCTTACCATTACTACGATGATCAGCTAAAGCGAATGGAGGAGCACAAATACCGAGCTCTTCATTATTTTCTACAGAGATCAGGAAAATCTCTAGAGTTGTTTCTTCTATCTTTAAACGAAGTGGTACAGGATTTGAAGGATTCATACGATCAGCTTGATAAATCATGGAAAGATGATACAAGCAGATTTCTACAACTGATGATTCTTGATGGCTGTTTCATGTTGGAAATTATGCGCCTCGCTATTCAAATTTCGAATGGCTATGCTGCTGATGATCCTGTTTTTAGCAGTCATGGGAGGGTCTATATGGCGCCATTTATCAGGCGTGACATGTTGATTGTGGAAAATCAATTACCAATGCTGGTTCTATACAAGCTTGTTGCTATTGAAAGTGATGGGGAAAAGGTATATCATATTAATTGAATTACAAAATCATCATATTGATCTTGTTTATATTGTTCAACATGAAATTTTTACTTTTATGCAGGATGAAGAGTTTGTCAACAAGCTTATACTGGCTTTCTGTCATCCCAATGCAAGCGTCTCAATGTGGGGCAAACGCTTGCATGTATTGGATTTATACAGGAATAGCCTGCTACAGGAAGTTCCCGAGAGGAAAAAGCATCGCCCTAGAGTAAGGGGTGGACTACATAAAGATGCCAATGATATTGTCCGATCTGCAGCAGAGATCAGCGAAGCTGGAATCCAGTTCAAGAGAAGTAAAACCAGAAGCCTGAAAGACATTTCGTTCCGCCATGGTGTCCTTGAGCTTCCTGTCGTCGTGGTGGATGATGTAACCGAGGCACTCTTTTTGAATTTGATGGCCTTTGAGCGCTTCCATGTTGGTGCGGGAAACGAGGTAACATCTTACGTCTTCTTCATGGACAACATCATCGACAATGAGAGGGATGTTGCTCTCCTACACTCGAGAGGGATCATCCAGACCGCTATCGGAAGTGACAAAGCTGTCGCTAAACTGTTCAACTCTCTTTCCACGGACATTGCATTGGACCCGGACAGCAGCCTAGAATTGGTGTACAGGCAGGTCAATGTCTACTGCAAGGAGCCTTGGAATGCCTGGCGTGCCAATCTTATCCAAACCTATTTCAGAAATCCATGGGCCATTCTATCTCTTGTTGCTGCACTCATCCTTTTTGCGCTCACAATTGTTCAGACTGTATACAGTCTTTTAGACTACTATGAAGATAAATCTCCATCACCCCTTCCTCCTGTCGGTCCCTCGCCAACCCCCATTCCTCCTCCCACTTTTTCTCCTAGGCTTTCCCTAAAATTCCATCGCCGTTAATTGCCATTGTGTTCAATCAATTTCCCAGTCTCTAGTACTTTGGGATCACCTTCCTCTCCTGTTGCTGCTGGTCTCCCGGAAACATATACTCCGTCTACTGGATTTTGGCAATGTGTTGTTGTCATCTTCATGCAATCTGACATTTTGTTGTATTTTCATGCCAAGCTCAGAAGAACCTTTTATGGGAGTTCATAATTTGAGCTACTTAGTTTCACTAATACTACAGTGCTTGTCATATTTGCGAGAGGGTTGACCTCGTCTCAGCTATATAGAATGTGCACTGTGTTGTGGTAGAATTTGATAATTCTCTGCTATTGTTCTAAGAGATGTATTCGTATATTTTCCCACTCAGGAAAGCCTTATGATTGCCCTTTTGGGTATTGCCATATTTTACTTATCATCAAAATATTCGGGATTATTTGTAAGAATCTTATCGATAAACAAAACTGGAGGCCACCCCCAACACCCCCTCTCATAATTCAAGGATGGAATTTAGACTCAAGATCTCTTATCTCACACTTCTCAATTAAGAGTAATTACATTTGATGGAAAATGAAATTTTCAGTGTAATCTCCTTACATTAAGTTTTCAACAGCAGTTCTAAGTCTAACTGCTTATCATAGTACTCTCCTTACAAGAGAAATATATTACCTGTTACATATCTACGCAATCGGAGTTGCCTCATTTGCACCAGATGAATAGCCACTTAATTTTCAATCTAGATGATTTAGCCCTGCAGTGGCGGTGGCATTGGCCGGTAGGTTTTCTCTCAGTCACCATATATAAATCTTAGAAAGTTTTGAATCCTTTGAAAAGGCTGGCTTGTGTGTAAAGTGATCACCGTACCATCCTCCCATACTTTCAACTTTTATTGTCTTCTGTTACCAAATGATTGGGCGCTGCCATTAGTTCTAGTGATGTATAAAAATTTATTTTCCCTCCCAATTCCTGGAATGTGCACAAACCCCTCTGTTTTGAACAAACTGACTAGTGATTACCATTTCTCTCTATTGCTAGCTTCTTGGTTCTTAACTTTTTGTTTATCTTTAACCCAACAGATATGTGCTAGCCCTTTAAGGAGGGAAAGCATCAATAACAGTTTACTGAATTGTTTAATGCTGCAGCATTCAGCTATTAGAACATATTGGAAGAAAGGTATGCTTTTCAGTTAGGGTGGAAGAGATGGGGCTGTATATAGCAGTGGTCACTAGGAATGTTTCACGGGGGAAGTTGGTAATCAAAATCGTGCTTCTTTAGCTTCAACAATGCCTTTATCTAATACAAGGAAAGAACAAATTTATGCGGCCTTTTTTCGTCCCTGTTAAGCAATGAATTAACAAAAAATTTGGATGCTTGCGAGATTATATTTTACCTCGGAAAGTATCAGGAGGGAAAGTATCAATAACAGTTTAGTGAATTGTTTAATGCTGCAGCATTCAGCTATTAGAAAATATTGGAAGAAAGGAATGTTTTTCAGTTAGGGTAGAAGAGATGGGGCTGTATATAGCTGCCTTTATCTAATACAAGGATAACACCTTGCATCACTTCTTGTCATCTTTGTTAAAAACTGTTGAGAAATTTGAAGCAATGGAGGAGGAAAATCAGGTGCTTATAAAAGTTGTTACAGAAAAACTTCAGAACTTGGCAGATACTTCGCTGCAGAATGTGCTCTGGGACAAACGTTCAATCTACAAAATACCTGCCTCTGTTACATCCCTGAACAAGACAGCCTACATGCCTCAGACCGTCTCCTTTGGTCCTTACCATCATGATGAAAATCATCTGAAGCCAATGGAGGAGCACAAGCAACGAGCGCTCAAATATTTTCTAAATGGAGCAGGAAAACCTCTACAATCAGTCGTTGAATCTTTAAACAAAGAAATCCAGGTTTTAAAAGACTCGTATGACATACTTGGTGAATCATGGAAGAATGATACGAGTAAATTTCTGCAACTGATGATTCTTGACGGTTGTTTCATGCTGGAAATCATACGCCTTGCTACACATTCGTTGGATCGCTACGATGCCAATGATCCAATTTTTAGCAGCCACGGGAGGCTCTACATTACACCATTTATCCGGCGTGACATGTTGCTGCTTGAAAATCAACTGCCAATGCTTGTTCTTTACAAGCTGGTTGCTGTTGAAAGCGATGGAGCAAAGGTACATTAATCTTTTGTTTGATTTTGTATAGTCCCCTTTACAATTTTTCACTATGAAAACCTCTACTTTCACACAGGATGAAGAGTTTGTCAACAAGCTCATACTCAATTTCTGCTATCCGAACGCATCTGTGTCGAAGCTAGGTAAATGCTTGCATGTATTGGATTTGTACAGGAAGAGCCTGCTTCAGGATGATCCCGTCAGGAAAATGCGCCGCCCAAGAATAAAGGGAGGACTTCATAAAGATGTCAACGATATTATCCGATCTGCGACAGAGATCAACGAAGCTGGAATCCAGTTCAAGAAAAGCGAAACGAGGAGCTTGAAAGACATCTCATTCCATAGCGGGGTCCTGCATCTTCCTGTCATTGTGGTGGATGATGCCACCGAAGCAACCTTTCTGAATTTGATGGCCTTCGAGCGCTTCCATGTTGGTGCAGGCAATGAGGTAACATCCTACGTCTTCTTCATGGACAATATTATTGACAACGAGAGAGACGTTGCCCTCCTAAACTCAAGAGGAATCATCCAAAATGCTATTGGAAGTGACAAGGCTGTTGCTAAACTGTTCAACTCTCTCTCCAAGGACATTGCATTGGATCCCAACAGCAGCCTTGAATTGGTGCACATGCAGGTCAATGCCTACTGCAAGAAGCCTTGGAATGAGTGGCGTGCCAATCTCATCCACACGTATTTCAGAAACCCATGGGCCATTCTCTCTGTAATTGCTGCACTCATCCTCTTTGCCCTCACTATTGCTCAAACTGTATATTCCATATTACCTTACTACAAATCAGATGTCTCTACATCACCCTCTCCTCCTGTTTTCATGGCACCTCCTCCCCTTCCAACTCCTCCCCATCATCCTCCTATGCACCCTCCGAAACCATCACGCCGCCATTGATTCACATGGGTTCCCCTACGATACATTTAAAATTACAACCACCTCTATCCGTTTAAAATTACAAATAATCCCACAATTTGCCACAAGACATCTATCTATACATTACTTTTCCTTCGACAGTCTTGGATTGCTGTTTTGGTTCGATCACATCATTGTACTAATTTATAACTTTATTTATCCTGTATTTCATTTACTTCTCCAACAAATGAGATTGGCTCCTGTTAAATTTTTTTCTGATATACAACACAGTGACGGGCCTGATTGCCTAACAGCAATTATGTTTTCTTGGCCTGAGGACTACATCAACAATAATAATACATAAACCTTCAATTAATTATATAGACTCGGCCTTATAATTATTATCTAAAAGTTCCATTATGTAAGACTGCATACATATCATCAGGATTGTCACGAAAAAAAGAAAAAAAAAGGAGACTGAAAGAATTCAGTTAGAAAGCTCCAAAATAAGAAGAGGGAGAGAAGGAGCATGTTTCTGCTTCCAATCCTAGAAAGGCCTTGTAATGACAGTCTCTACCAGTATTTACAGCAACTGACCGAAGATGAACAGTGAGGAGGTTTTTCCAGGAGTTAACGCACTGGAAAGTAAACTAATGTGGTAAAGATGCAAACCTTCCGGTCTGCTATCCTTTCATCTTCCAATTCCAATTAACCTAAGCTGCCAGATATAAAAAGTTTGTCAGCTTGCAATATTGCAATTGAAGAAACAAATTACAGGAACACAGAATTTCCAACCACAGAAGGGGAAAAATTACAATGTTGTTTCCAGGCTGCTTCCAATAAAATCCTTGCAGGACAACCGGTAAGACATTGCTGGTTGCAAGGACAAAAATCATCAACGCATGCATTCCCATCCACTCGAGTACCAATGTCGGGCGCTTGAATCCACACACATCAACCTGCAAGAAAACCCATTCACTTGATCAGCCAATCAAACTTGGCTGGCTCCATTGTGGAAACAGCGAGAAAAAGAAACAAAATGAACGAGACATTGGCAATCTAGCCAACTAGCAAATATACATGCCAGTTATCAAGATATAAACATAATAATCATAAGAAATTGTTGTTCAGTAAAAGTTTAAAAGATGGTAAAATATCCTACCAGTAAGTAGATACCAGTAAATACAATGCCAGCAACACCAGCAGTGACACACATGTAACTGAATGAGTAAAGAGCCTTGTTAACATGCATTCCTGGAGAAAGGAAAATGAAATCATAAATCAGTACTGGCATTAATGCTACCTCTGTGAAATTCAAATTTAAATTAACTCCAAGTAAACTTCTTACCAAACAAATGCAAGACAAGACCCAAGACTACAAAACAAGTGGATGGGACCATCCAGTGAAGGATTCTATCCTTGTGTTCCTGAAAGTGGCAGAGGAAAAAGTTGAACAAAAAGGAAACTGATGTATATAAGAAGTATAAATTCTTTGAGAATGTAGAAAGTGTCACCTTGAAATGGACAATGATGTGCCCATAGTGCAAACCAACCAAGCAGGTAACAATGGCCATCACTGAACTACAAGGACAAAGCGTAAAGATCACACAGAGAGCACAAAAATTAAGCACGCATTAAGTCATCTCCATAAAAGTTAAACTACCAATCTATTGATTCCTTATGCGTCGTATAAAAGATGACCTCTAGAAAAGGCACAAGGAAACATAAATAAACCTCAGGAGTCCTTCAGGATCAAAAGGGGCCTGACACCATGAAGGAGCATCTGGAGGCAGCGGGCCATAATCAGGGGAATTGATGCTGCATGGCTTTTGAAGGAAATTAACTATTATTAATATCATCATCAATAATAAATTAATAGTAAAACCGAAATAACAAGGGAAACATTCCAAGAAGTACCAAAATAAAACAAAAACAGACACTCAGGAGAAAAATTACATTAGTTCGTGCATAGATAGGCTTTCTATATAGGTGTTGAATTCCCAAAACTGTACGATCAATCATTCCAACAGCATTACAAGCAGGTCCAGTGTCGCCCCTTACTCCACATTTAACCTTCAAGAGAAAATGAATTATATCAATGACTGAGCTATCAATTTATTTAATTTCCTTCTGTAGCTTTACCGAAAATTGAAATAAATTTCTTTTAAGGATATAAGAAGCTTACTGGAAATATCTTTGGGGCGGAAGAAGAGGCTGCAACTGGAACCTGATACTCCCAGTCAGGAACATACAAGCCATATAACAAAGAAAGATATACAGTAACAAGCACCAAAACCGAGGCCCTGACAAAGAGTTGGCAAACAAATTAAGAAGATTCTCTGATGGTAACAAAAGGAAAGCATCCACACAAACAGCAATTTATCTCTGGTATAAATGAAGAAATATAGGCCAAGGGCTATGAACCAAAAGGTGCTTAAGAGACTTGCAAAATTACGTCACTCATACTATTGAACAACCTTTCCATCTAAAGCGTTGTTTCTAGTAAATGCAGCAATAGAAAATTACTGATTCTTAACACCACCCACCCGCCCACACCCACCCCCCCCCAAAATCAAAATTCTGTCTCTTTCCAAACGTGTAATATTTCTTCTCAAAGAATCATTTTTGAGAAAAAAGAATTAAACGGTTTCTTTGAATCAATACATGTGGCTTGTACAGCAAAACTCAAATTCACAAATACCAGATTTCTAGAAGGGAAGACTTCAAATGGGCTCAGTTTATAAATCAACAAGCACAATGACATGGCAGGTTTACTGTAAGTTGCTGCAGCAGCATGAATTGAAGTGACAAAGCAGATGATTGTATGATACGGCACTGTGGAAAGAATACTCACCATTGAAACCGATATTTCCTCAGCATGGATAATCCTGAAGTAACATGATCACCATCTTTTAGCCAAATTTCACACATTGCTCCTACTAAATATCCTATTGCTATTCTCTGGTTTGAAAAAAAAAAAAAAAAAACAGCAGCAGATTTCAACAGTGAGCAATTACAGTCCGTTAATCTGTCAATTGGCTAGCAGAATTCTATATCAAGTGGCTAAACAAGGGATTAGGTATAGGCAATACTCAAGAAAACAGGTCAAAATACACTACAGCAAGTTAAACTGCCAATTTGACAAACTAAAGCTGCCCGGACTAAACTCTTCAACACATGCAGCTGATATAAGATATGATGAGGAAAGTTATAAGAATACCTGCAAGATACCCATCCATCTTATTTGTGTCATATCAACTCCATAAGTTAGGTCATTAAGACCATGTAGAAAGCCACCTGGAAAGGAGAGAGTAAATGTTTAAGAACCACATATAAGTGTGTTTTCCAGAAAAACCTCCCAGAAGATACTGTTTCATTAAATATATGATAAATTGAAAAATCTGGCAGCATTTCTTTCTTGCTTTTTTTTTTTTTTAAAAAAATCTCCACATCCTCTTTCCTTTGAAAATAATAACTATATAAATATGGCAGAACTTAGCAAAAGAGCATCAACTATATTACATGATGTACAAGTTAAAGTTCTTGAAGATTACCTTGAAGAAAAAGACCTAAGATTAGAAGTTTGAGTGTCCGGAGTATTGCTTTTCTAGTTGCAACTACTTTGCATGACAATTTCTGTAGGAAACAAAATATGCAGTTAGGGTGAAAATGGTGGATAGCATCTGAAAGGGTATCGTTAGATATCTAGGAATAACAAAATTTCACATTACATTTTAGGGTGCACAAAAAAAAAACAACAGCACTCATTATCATTATCAAGTCATGAATAGCATTGCTTGAATGCTAACATGAAAACAATAAATTTCGAATTGCAGATACCTTGTATGTGAGTCCAAGCGCAACACCGACAATGAATAGGAAAAATGGCATGACTACATCTGCAAGTGTCAATCCATTCCATGGTGAATGATTAATAGCAGGCAGAACTCCACCAGCATCATCCACAAGTATCATTAGCTGCATTGATAGAGAGTGAGAAACCATAAAGCTATGATCCTTCAATTCACAATATATAGATATCAGAATTCCATTATAAAAGAAGCAGTTGTTAGCCAATGTTTGCTTGGTCATTTTTATGCCAAAAATGTAACGGAAATTATTGATTTGCTACAATATAACCACTCCACTCCAACCTCATTACTTGGTCTAAACCCAAGTGCAACCCAAAGTCCATTTCCTTCTTGTTTCTTCAAATAATGAGGGGAATTTAATATTTACATATACCATTCAAGCGTTTTTTTTTTTTTCTCTGAACTGGTACATTGAAGCTCCTTTACAATAAATCCTGGACGTCAATGGTTGTTCTTTGAATTTCACTAACACTTCGATACAGTCCTTGAAACATTTTATCACTTTTATCTTTAAAATTAGACCAAGTACATCCATTTAGACCCTCTTTTTTATTCTGAATGATATTAATATCTAGAGAATTGTGTGTTACTGTTTGGGGAAAAGAAAGAGAAAAAATTGTTGGCTGATTGAATGGAGTGGGATACAGTCTGGCAGATGGGTCAGTTCTACTCCAACTAGGCTAACTTAGGATTCAAGACAGGTTGAAGCTGAATCATACACAGTACACTGCAACAGAGGCAAGCTGTCCTCCACAGGGAATTGATTGCTGACCCTGAACCTGATAATGGATCTAAACCAATGATCTACCTACAAGTGGCATGTAAAGCAGGGCAAAACCTGGCACATGACATATCAGTTTACGATTTATCAAGGCTACAGACAATGATATACCTACAAGTGGCAAGTGAAGTAAGGCAAAACCTGGCAAAGGACACACTAGTTTATGTTTTTACCAAGGCTGACAATGATGATGCAGTACGCGAGTTGGTATGCACAATAAAAACATACAAGCTTATGACAACTTACCTAACCCATCAGAATAAAATAAAATTAATGTAGACGTAAATACGTTGTCCATTGCTCAGGAAAAATAAATGATGGATAGTTGGATACCATCTCTGTAGTATTTATTTATCGGTGCACAGGTACACACGAAAACCCAATTAGCATATAAATAATAAGGAAAAGGTCATGCCAATCTAATTTCCTATCTGGATTAAAGATGGAACTAATTGCTGCAATTAAAAGCTATTTTTGGCAAGAAATAATTTCGAACAAATCACTGGGAAAAAACAAATCATCTGAATCGTCCATCTTGATTTCTAAATCAGCATTTTAACATATCTCAATCTTTTCTAATTTTTCTTTTTTTGGGCGAGCGCGTGATTGTATTATTGGTGGTTGTTTTCTATGGGGTCAAGAGTAAGGACAAGAAGTAATCAATCGCAAAAATAAGAGTCAAAACAATGGTCTAATTGACTTGACAGAAAATCAACAAAAACACAATGCTCCCTTACAACGTAAAAATAAAACAGAACAAAAACAGAGCAGAACCCAGAAGATGAACGTCTGATGCGTCAGAAACAGGGGATAAGTTTTCCCGTGAGAAAATTTAACACCAAAGAAAAAGCAAAAGTTGTAAAACATATCAAAAAGAGAATAGAGAGGGTGAATGTAAAGATTACCGCAACAGTGAGACCACGAAAAACATCAAGAGAAACAAGACGTTGTTGTTTCTGTCGTTGTACTTCTTGTTGTTGATGGTGTTGCTTCGAATGAGTAGGGAGGATAAAAGATTTCTTTTCATCCACAATTTCATCACCACCCCCCGATGAACATGCTCATCGTTACTTTTCAAGGACTTTTCTCTATTTCCATTGTCTTCCTCTTGTCCTTTAATAGGCTTGTACATTGCCATTGCCATTGCCATATGCTCTCGACCGGCTAAAGAAAGAGATGAGAGAAAGAGAGAATCTTCTCTTATTCCCACACTACTGAATATATTTTTGGGTTATAGTTAAAACCCTTCCCTCCTTCGGTTTTCTTTCCTTGCCTCCTCCTCCTCCTCTTCTTGATGAACAGCCTGAAATAGAGGAGGCTTTTCTTTTCTTTTCAAAATTGCTTTTATATCAGGAAGGAGAAAGGCTTTTTTCTGTAGACCGACGTGCCCCCATCCTCTTTCTTTCTTTTTCTTTTGAGGAATAAAAAAAAATCAACGACTATGCGTTACGCACGTAAAATATCTTTCAATCTTTAACAGAGAGAGAGACAAAAAAAAAAACAAAAAATCATAAATAACAGAGAGAGATATATAGATAACGAGAAGGAATACGAGGAAGAGAATGAGTGATTGCACATGGTCGCCGTATGGGCCTCAAATTAAAATTTTTTTATTTAAAAAAACAAAATCTGCTTTTCCGTTTAGGACTGTACCATTTTTGTTTTTTTTTTTTTAAACGATTGAGCTCTGCGTCGAGATTAAATTTACGTTATTTTATTTATCATGTTTTTAAATCCAAATTATAAAATTTAAATTGAATGGACAAAATTTAATAAATGATAAAAATGGTAACAAATTAATCTTTTATTACTTTATTTTTTCATCTAATTTAAACCATTTAATTCAAAATTAATTGTAAAAAATTTTAACATGATCGGTCATGTGAAGAGTAGAATATCATTTATACAAAAATTAAAAATTCATAAAAATGAAATTTAAAACCTAATGACTAAAAATAAAAATAAAAAAAGGTGATTTGAATAAAAGAGTTTCTATTATAGATAAATATTTTTATTTTGTGACAAATAATTAATCTAAATGTTTAAATTTGATATATCTTAAAGATAAAAAAAGAAAAAATCTATCTTTAACGCAGGATTTTTATTTTTTTATTTTTTCCAGTCGGTAACTATTGTCCATGTCAGCTTTTTGGAAAAGTCATCCAATCATAAAGCATAAGAATAAGAACGAATAAAAAAAGTTAGATATGAGTGAGTGCCTTTTTATTTAACAAATTATTCCTGATTTTTTTGGATAATAATATCTTCCGTTTAGATCTCTATTGGTCACCCCGCGAAACTGTTTTCTGTTTCGAAACGCGGTGATTGTGTGTTGCATTGGTTAATTAACAGTTTCTCTTCTTGGTAGTGAATAAAGAGTGGGTTTCGTTTTTATAAATGAAATCGAAAATGGTTTCAGATAGGAAGGAGCTTTGATTCTCTGTGGTCAAGCCGACAGGGTAATTGTTGGAATCACGTTATTCATCAAAAGCAGATAACCAAAACAAAAAGGTCATCACGTTTTATGCCTTCGCCATCAAATAGATAGAGTAAACTGCATTCAATCTTACTCGTGACAAAAAAAACTCAAAAACCTTTTTCTTTCTTATTCAGCAGCAACAACCTAACTAATAACATCGAAACAACAACAACAGCAACCTAACTAATAACATCGACAACCGATCCACTAAAATTATTTAAAAGAATCAATAAAAAGGCAAGAAGATTAGATATGAAGCGAAATATATAGTAGAGAAAAGGACATATTTATTTATACGAAATTACATTAAAATATTCAAAGTAATTATAACAATTGCTATTTCTCATTCTTTAACAAAATTATATATTACTTACGATTGTGTGTGTGGTATGTGTTATAATCCAATGAAGTCTGTCCGACAACAATTTCTATTTTCTAAAAATTTATATAATTAACAATGAATGTTAAAGTATGAAATTCAATTGAAAAAAATAAATTAAGCATTCTTAATTACTTATTTTATTTGTAAAGAAAAATTACATCATGGTGGTTGTGGTTAATTTAGGGCATCAACTTTTATAATTGAGATGTCAAAATATGTTTTTTTTTTTTTACTGAAAACTCTCAAGGTTTAATTATGTGTTGCATTGGATGAAAATTTAGAAACGACTAGAAATTATCTAGATTATATATATAGTTTAAAATTAAACCTTGATGATACTATTCGTAGCCTAAAGGCTCATCTCGTAAGGATAACTTAAGAATACTTAAAAGGAAGCCAGTAATATATTTTTTAATTATTATTATGTCGGATGCCAGACATAATATGAAAAACTACATGGAAAAACAAAATAATAAAGAAAATGCTAAATATTATGAAAACATAATTTTTAAAAAAAAATTGAAGGGATGAATAAAGTATAAATTCATCCTTCTAGCGTCACAAAACCAATTAAATAATTTATTTTGTTTCAAAAATTAATTAATTAGTTCCAAATGTTTAAAATATATTTATAACTTAATTATCTTTTTTGTATTTTTTTCAATTTATTTATTTATTTGTTTTTCAAAATTAGAGCAACCCGTTTATAATTTACTCACCTTTGGATTGTGGAATCCAAGATGATTCCACTTTAAAATCATGATCTAATGATTCATAAATATATTATTTTTTTCTTAATATTTTAGTATTTTGATTTGTAATAACACAAAGACAGACTGACAATTTTTTATTTAAAAACTAAGATTAAAAGTACATGCAAAAGTACCCTATTTGTCGTAATTCCAAGTTATACGCATTTCTACGAAGAATTAAACAACTCCTAAAATCTAATAATACTGTAGCATTATGTTTTTGGCTGGAATAGATTTTAAAAGTTATCCTGGTTTCCGCACTTGTGAAAGTGGGGCGGTGCCAACTCAACCCACAAGCTGTTGGCATATCGGCTATAACATATTCCTGTCGATAATTCGAAAATTATTAAAGTTGTAATTCGACGTGTTTTCTTTTCTTATTCCTTTTCACCGTCGCCACCCTCGTAGCCTGTAGAAAGTAGAAAGTGCTGCTGGTGACCAGTGGTACATGGAATATTCTGGGTTGCTTGCTGACTTGCTGTTGCTGGTGAGAAAATAAAGGTGTGGTAATGAAATTATCAACTCCTTGCTTTTGATTCGCATTGATCCGTAATTTTACTTTTTTTGAGGCAAGTGGGGTCTCCCTGTTATATGTCAGTTTTACCACCTCCTTTTTTATGTGTTTTTATTTATTTATTTATCTCAAGGATTAGAAATTGCACTTATATATGTATAATGAGAAAAAAATATATTGAGTTTTAAGATCGTGAGAGATTAGTATTTTTTTAGTAAGCTGTTT